ACGATAAATCCACATGACCATAATTTCACCGATGAAAATCTGTATTCACTACATATATTAATTCCAAATGGCGGTATCATAAATAAAAATAAGCATGCTAATTCTTCTCAAATAATCGGCGTTTATACTCATTCCAAATATCGTCGTCTTAGCAATTTGGAATTGAACTTGTTAAATTCCAACTTATTCGAGGCCAGAAAGAATTATAGATTTTTTTATTGGATATAAGCAATCAATCACAAAATACAACCTTGGACAAACACTGAATGCTAAGCATTGCATTGATGATGGCATGGATGCGATTGAATGCCGGGAACGATGTAGAGAGAGAGACTACACGCCGCCAAAAATAATTTGACATATTTGAGTTATATGTTATTTGATAAAGATAATAAAAGATTTTCGAAATACGACCAAGATAACCTTCGCTTCGAACGAGATAACATTTTCGAACATTTCAGCGAATGTAACCCGAAATGCATAAACCGGATCGACTGTATTCAATATCATTACACGATGTATGAGTCACATGATCGATACAATTTAGACGATCACTATCTAATTTATATTATGTTTCCATTCGAGTCTACAGTCGAATACGAAATAACACTCAAAATGTTTTTCGATGAGTACTTGAGTCTAGCGGCAAGTGTTATAAGCCTATGGTTTGGGTTCTCTATCATTATATTTACGAAAAGCTTAAGAGAAATACTCATAAAATTTGAATTTAAGAAATATTCTCAACAATTGGTCAACCCAATTATCAATAATTACAATAATTGCAATGTCAATTGTAATTTCTTATTAAACGTGCGAGATTATATTCGCAATAAGAAACGTATTGTCCTAATAAATACAGCTTGGCCAATTATACATTTGGAAACAATTGGCTCGCAACAATGAATGTATTATTAGTATTACAATTTAAATAAAATAACAATGCCCATTCGGGTATAAGTAGCGTTCGCAGAACCTCAAGGATAGGCAGGAGTCTTAAGGAATCGAAATATTATAGGATTAATAATTTTGCTTAATTTTAACGGAAAATACTACAAGTTCATATAAATATTCCTTGATTAACCGCAAAAACTCATTTAACTTACATAATTAAATTAAAAAATGATTTTCACTATTCAATAAATTAATAATGGGTTATCACACTTAAATAATATGTACCAACTACTAGATAAAAAGCTATATTTACCTATTTAATCAATATTATTATTAGGATTTGTCGTAAACTCTAAAATTTCTATAAATATAATCTCAAGGAATTTTATGGCATGATTATAAAATATGTTATAAAATCTGATATATAAATAAACCTCTTGGAAACAATTTTGTTTCTATGATTCAAATATAGTATAAAGTCTAACATAAGTATCACTAATAAATAAAAGTTAACAATTGTTTCAGTGATTAAAACAATAATCTATATAATATTACAGGCATGATTATATTACAATGGTATTTAGCAAAATATTAAAAACTTTTCTTAATAAATTTGACTAAGAATTAATACTCAAGGAAATCTGAGGACTTTTTAGTCATTCTCAAGGAATTTAGATTTTAGACCTGCGAACCCTACTCTACAGTCTGGTTGTCGTAGGGTTTGTCGAGCAATGGGGGGACGGCGTGAGCGACATATTCCAGACCACGGAACAGCCCTTTCTATTAGACTCAATGGTATGACAACAACATAAAAACCACAGATTTTACGCATGACTTACACATAAGATTAGCAACAGATTTACGTCATTATCTCACGCGATCTCCAGATGTCCGCAAATTATAGCTAATATTCACACAAATTATCATTATTTGTACGAATCGTATGTAAAATAATTTTTCAAAACTATTTTCTGTTGTCCAGTCGTGGCTATTGGCCAGTCGTGAGTCGATAGTCACAATATAATACCTACCTTTCCTCCCCAATATATCATATAACTTATCTGGTTCAATCAAGATGACCTACTTCACCATATATACCATAGACCAGCTATGCGCAACTCAGATTATAAGTTAGTGGAAAAAGGTTTCGATATTTCCAGAAATTGCTGACAGTATTTCGGGAATATAGGAAATTCCATGGACAGTATAATTAAAATTAAACAAGGTTTATTAATATATTTTAATGAAATTTAAGATATTTAAGCAAATTTTATAAATAATTTTATTCGAAATATTAATAAAAAATTATACTAATCATTGATATTAATAAAAGTGATATTTTTCAAAATATTATTTTATTAATATATTTTAATGAAATTTAAGATATTTAAGCAAATTTTATAAATAATTTTATTCGAAATATTAATAAAAAATTATACTAATCATTGATATTAATAAAAGTGATATTTTTCAAAATATTATCAATCCACAAATATTAGTGATTTCTATCATAGACTACCACAAGAATTCATTTGTCCCAAACAAAATGCTTTAAAAATCATTACCCTTTTTGCAACAACATATGATTGTGAACAACTTTTTTCTATCATGAATTTAATTAAGACCAAACAAACGCATAAAATCTCAGATAAATTACTTGAAGCGTCAAACAAAATGCTTTAAAAATCATTACCCTTTTTGCAACAACATATGATCGTGAACAACTTTTTTCTATCATGAATTTAATTAAGACCAAACAAACGCATAAAATCTCAGATAAATTACTTGAAGCGAGACTTTGAATATTCAGCGCTAAAGACATCAAACCAAATATTGAACTAATAATGACAAAACACCGATATAATAAAAGCCATTAATCTATTGATTTATAAGTGAACTGAAGGAATGACTGAAAGAACAACCTCCATAACAAAAAAGGGTGAGACCCGTTCTGGTCGACCTCCACGTGGTGTGTCTTGGATAACGCTAACAGACCAGAAAATTGTTTTTATTTATGAATTTTACCATATTTTGACTTTCCATGGAATTTCTTATATTTCCGAAATACTTTCAAAAATTTCTGGAAATATCGAAACCTTTTCCCACTAACATATAACCTGAGTTGCCCATAGCTAATCTATAGTATGAATGTTATAGTTAATCTAGTAAATATATTATTTGTTAATTAATATTTTAAAAGTTTAATATCATATTACAAATAAATATAATTTCATTATGATAAAAATTATATTTAACAAATTAAATTAAGATAAATATCCTAGATAGAAATATAAAATAATTGAATTAATTGTTTAAATAAAATTTTAAACTCTATATACAGTATTAATAATCAAGTTATAATTTAGAATATACTATAATAATATACTGTAAACTAACATATATTATATTAATTATATAAAAATTTACGGTACACGTTGTTATTATGTAATCTTAAAAATTAACAGTTATCTAAATTTTTTTTATAAATAACAACAGCTAGCTTATATTTGACTTTAGTTAGCCAGCCACTAATTATATATATCAATTTTGTATCTCTACGATTAATTCAATATAGATGTTCAGTACGTGCGTGCATATTTTAAATAATGTACTAATTTCAAGTATAATAGATAAAATTGACATCCACGTTGTAATAATAGTGTCCCTCCGATAGGATAGACGTGAATTCCCAGTTAAAGTCATTCTTATCGTTAGAATCAGGGTCTTCGCAGTATATCCATCGGGTATCCCGTTTTTCTCCATTTGGAGTGTTACCACCCCCTGTATTTGAGCAAGATACAGTTGTATAAGTACAGCAAAATTTTTAAAATTTAAATTAATTTTGTATTTTACTTTGATATTTTTGTTTGTGAGCATTTCAATATTCAAATTATATGAGTAAAATGTTTAAAATTAATATTAAAGGTACATTTATAATAAACAAATTATAAATGTAATAATGTATTTAAAATCTACCAGTACAATGTACTTACAACAATCGATGTTATAAATATAATAGAAACCCTCATCATGGGACTTGCTAATTTTGACGGTATGTTTGGTATTATCATGGTGAAGCATAGTGTACCAGCCATTATCAGCTGGAATGAAAGTGTGCCAAAAATGAGCTTGCCACAAATCAAGTTGGTCATCAATAGTAGCATCTATCTTATTAATTGAGTCCCATATTAAGAATCGTTTGGAGTTGTGATTTTTGACCGAATACTTTAGGTTAGTATATATGGGTAGTTGTGCCCGGTCATTGCGGTCAATAATGGGAACGTGAGTCTCAATACCGGTGCACAGATCTTGGTTGTACAGTATTAGGGTTAGTATAAATAGGATATTTGTGCTCATTTTATTATTCATTACATTAAACATATCATAAGTAGTGAACATTATATTACATAAACATTAATAGTGGTGTGGTATCCGAAGTATAGTTCACTTATTTGATACGTTTCATACATACATCCCATCAGACATATGGCAGTCACTAATACATTCTAACAATTATCCCTGGTAATTGTTATCATTTTAACTATATTTATAAATATTTTAAACGTCTTTAAACTCTTTAATATTAAATATGATATAAAACTACTCTTTCGACTGATTGGAGATTAAAATATATTTATTAGATCTTAAAACTCGAGTACTTTGGTCCGGGTCTGAGCCTTCTTCACGATTTACAATCAAAATACAGTTACAAACAAATAAATTATAAACTTTTCAAAATGCTAAATGTCGTACGTATTTATGTAGATTATATAATATCATTGATATTAATACAGTTGAGATTGATTTATGCTCTAACATAAATTTATATAAGTTAGCTAATACGTTATTTAGATATTCATGTTTGCATTTTATGTAACTAAGTAACGCCGTAATGTTTATTTGGAAATTATTTTGAATATATTACTAAATTTTAATTAATTTTTTGCCATAATAGAATTTAATTAGAATATCAGATTGTGAAATGTGCATAGTAAGCATCAAGCAAAAATTAGCATACTTAATTAACATTTAAGGTAATGATTAGTTTTAGCACTTAGTGACATCTCAATTCATTTACTATTTAGTAATACATATGAATCAAGAACTCAAAGAGTAGCCTATTTATGAAACTAAATAAAGCATTGGTTTTCACATTGCTTGCATTAACTCAATCAACTAATGACTAAACTCCTTTGCAAATTGTATATTAAATGTGAAAACCAATGCATTACTTGGCATTACAATGAAATAAATAAGCTACTCTTTGAGTTCTTGATTCATATAGTAATACATAACACATAGTAATACATATTTATGTGCAAAACCAAAAGCATATATTTATGAGAAAATTATGTATACAAATAAAATTATACATTTCGATCTCAAATTATTTATTGAATCATTTACTGTATATAGGAATGTCATCAAGTTAATTGATTATAACAAGTTCATTTAAGAATCAATTACTTTGAGAAATTGCAATCTCTGTGGTGTGCCCTCACATCTGCACGTATTACCAACTTTATTAATCTCGATATACTTATCCAGGCCAAACGAGCCCACAAATGAACCAGTTGTATTAAACTTAAGCACTTTGCTATCCTCCCACTGTTCCTGATCAAAAAACAACTTAACCAACTTTTTAGTCAACTCCATGTCCACTTCCATGCCGGACTTGCTTGTAATCTTGACCTAGAACAAATTAACATATAATTATTAAATTAAAAAATAATCCTGTTTATATTTTTACGTTAATAGTCGCGGTATAGGGCAGTGCTAAGTCGCTGATCCATTTCACATACGACAGCACTTTAATGCATTGATTTTCCGGTATATTCACTGTCTTTTTGACGGATATCTTATACTCGTTTGTTGTGGACAACTGACTGCCCCGGGTCTCCCTGGATTCCTGTCCCAACTCCCACTCCACTTCAGCCGTAGTGGACACGGAGGCATCAAATATGCCAAACAGGTTGGCACTCACACCGGCTGTTACGCTAAATCGGTTGCAATACCTACTGACCCACGAAAGCG